CGATGGTCTTTCAAAGCGGGCAGGTACTGTATCCCCCTGAACTGTGGAGACTAAGGGTACAACTGTGAATTCTGGGGCCCTTCATTTATTGAAGCCCCATGAGGCATGTTCTATCAAATCTACACCTCCCCGATCCGCTGGCACCTAAAGCCAAAGAGCAGTTGAGCAGTATTTTGAAGCATGATTTTGTATCCCAATTTAGATGATATGCTCCGGCAAGGATAAGTCATCACCTTACCTGCCTCAACCACCCCCCAGAAAACCTCAGGTGGGTAGTTCTTTTTCATGGGGGGGAGTACTATAGTCCCCAATATAGAATAAGACTGTATCCTCCTTTTGGGGTATAGTATTTTTGCATAAGGAATGTAGTCTTACTTCGTTCAACTCTTGCAAGAATGCTACTCAGGTGGAACGTGGTATATGGTCGGTCATCAAGCCGGCCCTGTGATGAAGTAGTCCCTTCCCCCAAGCAAGCATGGAACAATGTGAGGGTTTACAAAAAGAAGCGAGTCCGTCTGGGGTCCCTACAATTAAAAAGGATAATATCAAATCATGGGAAAGTATAATCAGGACCTCGATTCTGGGAATTACACCTGTCCACAGCAGTCAGCATGACAACAAAAAGTTCCATGAATGTTTGGGGAGTGAAGCCTGTGCGCGCAGTTGTTGCAAAGGCATGAAAAGGCAGAGTTTGATCCCAGGCATTCGTTTCGGTGATCTAACGCTTTTATGGATTTCGCGATTTTGCAGCTGTGGAATGTAGACATATCCAGATCCGCGGGTTCACACTTGGACTTAGCAACCCAAGCTTGGCACTGCGCCACTTGCTGTCAAGAATGCTATGTGGTGATTTTGGGATGTGTAGGGGATACTGGACAACAAAATAGAATCGACTGTTTAGGGTTTAGGGTTTATAGTAGTAGCAACAGTAGTAGTAATGCTAGTAATAGTGTTTCAAGAAACAGCACTTTAGGTTAGGTCACAAGTTTGCCCGGGTACCTTAGCCGAAAGGATTGGCCAGACGCAGGCTCCCATCTTGACATCCCAATAGCGCTGTTTGGTCCCTTCACCTGTACGCGTTTGGGTCGGTAGTTCTTCTATAGGGTTTCGGGTTCAGGGTTTTCTATACCAAATCTTACAGAAATGAAGGGCATCTGAGATCAGTTGGAATTGGAAACAGGTCCCTTCATGTTGCTCCTGTGTTGCCGGACCCTTGTTCAATAGCCCCGTGACTGCCATGGGGGGTTGCGTGCATGCTTCACAACATGCCTGCTTGTTCCTCTGTGCTCAGAGCAGAGGGCACCTGCAGAAACCCATCCCATAAAGCTTGAGCCACCCACAGGTGCGAAGCCTTTGAATCACAAAACCAAGCAACAGACCTCCTGACCTGACCTCTATGTAGCTCCAACAGTCTGGCAACTCAAGGGCTCATGTTGAGCATCCTGGTCTCAAGAAACGCAAATCCCCAGATAAATATTATCCAAGGTTCAAGCCAAGGGCCCTTAGTATGCGCTCGTAATCTTGGGGCTCCTTGCCCATAGTCTGCATTTGCATACACTCGTACTGAAGGCCCCTCTAATCCTCCTGAAAGGGCCAATGGCCCACATACGCTGGATTTTAAAGATCCTGATCTCAAGTATCAACTGCAGGGCCGATGCTTCTGCACAGCCCCTGGTGAAGACCTAACCCCTATACCCGATACCCATACACGGCGTGGAAGGACGTGGACTCGCGAGCTGAGGCTTGCAGGGTCCTTGGGGTGCCAAACTCAGATTTTGGGAGACCAACGAAGATTTGTATAATAGAGAGGCCTAGATAATAGTTACCAATATTGTCAATAATAATATAGTAGTTTGAGATTCCCGGTATAACCATAGTACAGGGACCTTGAGAGACCTCATAATGACCTCTGTATGCATTTAGGCCCCTACATTCTATGCATGTATATCCAGATATGATAATATCGCAGGCTGGCTCATGTGGGGGGTTATGTAGGTATTTTGTTGTAGGTTTCTTTGTTCTCTCGTCTGATGATATGGTTTTCCAAGCATCTAGTAAACGAACGAACCTCATTCTACTGTAGCAGCCATCTTGAAATTGACGATGCCTTCTGAAACCTTGCAAGGTCCAATTAATTGGCGAGACTATGGTCCCCCTTAAGTAGATAGAATATGGGGTATATGGGGATCTTATTATAACATACCCAAAGCCACATTCTATCTACTGAAGGCGGACTATATGCCTCAAACGTCTCTTGATGAGACACTGTTGGCAAAAGTTAAAGCGTCCCGCGGATCTAGTTCCTTCTATGAAAGCGGCTGTGGTAGAAAGAGATAGGTGTCTTTCCTTCATGTCCTTTGCAAGGCTGACGCGCAAAACCCTAAACCGCTTCAACGTCCTGCACCCGATGTGTGAATCATGGCCATGCTCGTCCTGGGCTTTATCCTGCAAGAGTTCTTCTCCGCATGTAGTGCGCTCCCCAAGCTAACGCGCACGCCTGGAATATATTCTACCTTTTAGAGGCGGCTATATGTACTATAGTCCAAACTCCTGAAAGGGGCTTATATGGGGGATTAAATAGAGGACTACTATAGGGGTTATTCAGAGGGATACTAGGAGTTTAGACTGTGGCTCATATGGCTTGCTTGTGATTTTTTGGGAGGGCAGCTGTGGGCAGCTCAGGTGGACCCTCCGGCCGAAATAGTGGACAGAGAGGTGGCCCAGCCATTGCGAATTAACGCGGGCAAGGGTTTGGATGCGTATATGCATATATATATATATAGGTATATACATTTGTATGTGTATACATATAAATATATACAGAGCCTTATATACCCATAGGGCTTTGGGGTGTAGAAGTTCGGTTGTCAATGCAGCAGCACAAACATGCAATGTGAGGCCCTGTATGTACATTCTAAGTAGAATAGACTGCATGCCAGGGTTAGGGTTTGGGGTTTAGGGTTTAGGGGAAAAGGGATATGTTTGTTGCCAGGCAAAAGAAGTGGCCCGTCCTGCAGATGTAGAAGCGAACGAAGTAGGTGCACGCTAGAGCAGCCAGTTGTCCTTGAGGGGCGCCCCGGGACCCTTGAGGTATATGGAAGACTGCAGTTGGATTACGGTAGTCGCCTCAAAGATTACCTTGGTGTCAGCTTGTGAACTCCCATGCAGGCCTTTTCAGACCACTGCCAATCCCACAAGGCTTCGTAATCGCAATACATAGCAGTTTCAATGTGATTTTCGAAATGCTTCTCGATTCTCTTAGTGTATCCCTATACAAACCGATGTAGCCGCATGGATCCTTATGGAACCTTCCTGTGGCACTTCGTCATGACATTCGCGAGGAGGATGCGGAAGCACCCAACTTCGACCGACGGGCCGAGCCCTTGCAGGAGGAGGCTGGCACTTTGGAGGGTTTAGGGTTTTCCGAAGTTACAGTTTCTACAGGGGTTCCACGAAACGTAGACTTGAGTGTTTAGGGACAAGGTATATTAGCCAAGGGGGGCGGCATTTTACATTTATCCAAATAATTCCTGGAGGTTACTTGTAGGGGTTTCCAGGGTTCCCTCTTGGGTGGATTTCGTAGTAGGGTTCAAGAGTTATCGGGGATCATCTTATGTGGATATTGTAGGGATTACTGTGCAGATTCGTCCTCCGCTGGTACAGCTGACAGGCAGTATGGGCACTTCCTAAATGGGGGTGGCCCTAACATAGCCCAAAGTACCATAATCCTGCTTGTGGGGACCCCCAAACAAGCCCCCCTAGATTTCCAGCAAGCCGCATAGAGGCTCGCATGATGCCTTATTACCCAAGCCATGAGCTCACATGAGCCAACTGGCAGGTGGCGCAATGCGCAGTGTGCCGATCCCAGTGTAGCGACTGATTATACAGACGCAGGGTTCAGGATAACAAGGCTGGCCAGCCGCAAAGACGCTTAACTTGTGCACGTGTTGGAAAAGGGGTTAAGAGATTCCAGAGCAGATGGGGATGTCACAGCGTAGGCAAAAACACACAGGTTAGCTCATGCTAGTAGAATGTAGCATACCTAAATTCTTTACTACCCGAAGCTCCAATTTTTCACGGGGCTTAGACCCATAAGCCTAAGCCCAGCGGCCTTAAAGCCTGATGTAGTAGAATATTGGGGTTATATAGGGATAATGGAAAAGAAAATGGAAACTACAGGGGTTATAAGGGTAATATAGGGGTTCTATAGGATTATATACACCCTGAACCCTGAAGTCCCATTGTTCGGAGCAAACTTTCCAGTTTCCTGCGCTCCCGTTTGCATTCTTAGAGGCAGCTGGCTTAGTGTCAACTTGAGAATGAAAAGAACCGTGGCATCCCTGGGCTCAAAGAGCAAGAAGAAGACAAAAAAGAATCCCGCTGCGCCGTCATTCGCCGGCCACCAACCTCTCCCGAACAGCTATGAAGACGCTTTGGCAAGACAGTTCTGCTGAAAGTTGTTGGGTGCAAAGGGGTAGCTGGACTCCAGCTACATACATGTCTGGAGTCTGGACGATTCAGGGAGTCTTTGGTATCATGCAGGGTTAAGGCTGCACGCACTCCAGTTTGGGCCAGGGCCAGGGATTATTATGTTTTGAGATGTGTTAATTTAGGATGCAGGGTCTCCGGCAAAACGACCTTCTTGTTCACCAAATGACGACAAACCATTGTAATTTATACGATGCGTTATTGCATCATGCAACATGATGAAGTTGAAGCGATGAGGAACAGCTCAGATCATAGCTCAGGCTTTGTTTGCAGCACGCACATGCAGCTTGTATATCTGGTACATACAAACGGCAGAAGTGTGGCTGTCTGTCAATCTCTGGCATCATCACAAACCTGGACCGTATGCTCCAGGCCCTTTCCCAATAAAAGGTCCCATCTTTTGCCGGGGAATAATCTTATGAACCCCACACCGAAACCCTCCAATGGCTTCATCAGTTGAGCTCCCCAAACCCTAAAGCTTGGCTTCGGCTCTTCCTGAATCAGCTTCCGAGGAAGGCCGAGGGCGCAGTTGACATTGATGTGCCTTGCCAAAGGGTTTGATTGTGGCTTAAGTTTGTGGGGTGCAAGGTTAGGGTTGAGGGTTAAGGGTAGGCTGTACGCTTTAGCGTTGAAGGCTTACAAAGTTTCAAGGTTCAGGGTTCAAAGGCAGGAAAAAAAGGTTCACGGTTCGGGTTTTGGGCCTTCGGGTTTAAGTTTTAGGGTGCTGGTGGTCTGGCCTGGCCGGGTTGATTATTGTTTCTGAACCCTGCTTTCTATTTGCAATTGTTGTGTCGGACTTTATTTGAAGCCCGGGTAGCCAGTCGGTTTGAGTGGGTTACACGTTTAAGTGCACTGCTTCGGTCAAAGGCTTCGGGGTCATCGACCCACATGGTAGGGCTTGGTGTCAAGGTGGGGTGGCATGGCATATCATGGCACCCCTCTTATGTAGCTACGTCCTCAAACCCCGAAACCCTACACTCTAAAAAAAATCTGAGGCGTGCCATGCCCTTCGTCTGACAAGGAGGGTACTCGCTTCCATAGACGGCATGGCCCCAAAGAAGCTAAACCCCGTTTGGTTCCCAAGGCTGTTCGGCATCTTTAGCGGCCCCCCCCAATGCTTTTCTTCTGCCAGTGGCTTGTCACCGTAAGGATTCTTGCATGGCCCTAGCTCCAGGAGCCCAAATCCAACACCTGTGAGGCAGGATCAAGTCCATGGCCCCATCCTCGCACCCTAAACCCTCAACCCAATGTAACCCCATTATGGTAGTTTCCACTTTCTCTTCCATTATCCCCCTAAAACCTAGTAGAGCCCATTCTTGCGATGCTCACAGCTTCGGCGGGTGCCATAAAAGCACCAAAATACTTCAAAATCTAAACCCTAAACCGCCTAAACCCTAAGAAGCCAAAGCGAACGACTGAAGCCGGCCCTGTTGGGTGGCCCCTCATGGCGTATTTTTGTGATCAAGGCCATCGTGGACCAATGCTTGGAAGTGAAGGGAGGACAAATTCCTGGCTTGCTGTTAAGGAACTTAGTTTAAGTTACTATGCCAGGGGAACCATATTAGTTGTCATATAAACTCATCATAGTAACTTAAGAAACCCAGCTTCTTGTCATTGTCGGAATTCTGGATTGTTTTGCCGCCGGGCATTAGAGTTCAGCTGACTATCTGGCCCATACTGCAGGGAATGGAAGCCTTCTTGACTGTAGCAGTTACTGCTCAATTGTGGATTTTCTGAAAATCATGCCTATAATCCTTAGAAGGACTCTACAATCCTCTCAAGATCTCTAGAGATTACTGGGGTTCCTCAGGGCCACACGTTTTGAGAACGTCTCCCCACATTAATCCCTTCAATGCCTTCCCCCATTCCTTGCTCAGCATCAAGGATATGAAGGTGAGGTGCTTCCAGCTTCTGTGAACCTGAAATGGTAGACTCTAAAATCAGGGGTCCCTTTGCTGGCGGGATTCTATGTGTATGTATACAGTATACACATATGTAAAAATGCAGCTCTCATTTGTTTTTGTGGTGATGCCGAAGAAATTCCTGTTGCCTGAGTGGCTGAAGGCATGGCTTTTTCTTGCATGCCGCACAGTCAGTGCAATTTTGGGGAACAACCTGCGAACTCTACGCCATAATTATTTAGGCGCGAGCCGTGCAATCCCTGTGAGTTCCTATGCAAACCCGGTTACCATTTCAGAGGTTCATGGGAAGCTACTGGCGTTTTATGCCGGTTAACTTCAGCTATCACTGGCTATATTCTGTATTCTAAAGATCAATCCCAAATCCTCGGCTTTAAGTCCCCACTCCAAGCCCTGATCGAAAAGAGTACAGGCCTGAGTTCAGCATTCCTTTGCAAGCCGCCTTGCAGCCTGCAGGAAAGCCGGGCAAGTTGGTGAACATCCCTGAAACACAGGCCGCTAGCAAAGCCTCCGCAATCCTTTTTGAGTTGGGATTCCGGCTCTGAAGGCTGAGTAGATGAGTCAGATTTGCTTAATATGGGCTTCTCGGTTTTCGACTCTGTGGGTGGCCCCTTGAACGAGGATCAGAGTAGATTGCTCATAGTCGTAGTAACTATAAAGGGGGAACCTCTTGCATTCCAAGTGGTAGCTTCCCTAACTAGGGGGACCTGGACATAGACCCCCAAATATTCTAATTCTTGTTATGGGGACCCTCAAAAAAGGTATCCTTGATTTGGGAAACTACCAAGTGGACGCCTCTGGTCGTACGGCGGCGTGTTCTCTCCAAATACACTCGAGAGATCACGCTACGGAAAGATAGGAGAAATCCAGTGGGTGAGGTAGGCTCTCTACGAGGCAACTATCACATGTTGCTCTTTGATGTTTTCCAGTCCTTATCAATACCTAGCCCTGCTTCAACCTTTTAGAGAAAGGGGTTTTGGGTTCGAGGTATGGGTCTTAGACTTCAAGGGTTGAGTATATTGTTAGGGCTTTGGGCTTTTTGCAGTGTTGACCCATGGGTTAATTTACTGTGTGCGCTTCCGAAGGAACCCGATATCCTCTTCCAAAACAATGGTAGGTGTGAAAATAGTTGTTAATGTTTAGTACCCTTAATATCTGTATAATCATTATGAACGCCAGAAAATGATTTTATAGGGCCCCCAAACCTTAAAGCCCATGATAATACCCTGCATCTTGCAGTGTCCGGCAGGGATGGGCCGTGACCGCAATTCTACAGATTGCACCTAGCATCTCCCCCTTCCCAAAGAGGGAAAGCCCGAAACTGTCAACTTACTGGGGGCTAGAAGGGAAAACGGGAATATATTATGTAGGGAACAGGGGTTGGATTCAGTCCCCCTATTCCTTACTTACCCCCAGCAAGTAAATCTCAAACGGGTCATGAAGTGGAGGTGAAGGGCTTGTGCACCCACGTTCGCCAGATCTTTCTTGACCAAAGCGCCGCTTGTCCAGTCCAGAAAGGGAATTTTCGAGTTCATGCTTTTGATGGATGCCCACACTGAACTATAGCACGGCCACTTTGTTTGGATATCTAGCTATATGTACATCGGATGATGCACGAGCTGTTCAGAGATGTTGGGCTTGTACTCAGTCAAGAGTATGAAGCTCTAAATGGTTGGAGCGTTTAGGGTTGCAGGGCTTCTGCATTTGGAAGATGTTTCGGGTTAGGGTTTTAGGGAGGGTGAGGCTTGCAGGCACCCCTTCAACCCTGCATCATCTTCAAAACCTGCATGGGTCTAGTAGCAGGGGGCTCAAAAGGTGGGATGAAGGTAGGTGGGTTGAAGGATACCTAGTATATACTCTATTATATTGGGGTTTATTTCCTGTGCCCCACCTTCCTTTACCCCACCTTTTGAGCCTCCTGATAGTACACGGCAGTAGTGGTGCCAACACGTGTTATTTCTAGCCTTGTCAGGCTCAGTGTTTTTTTTCGGGATGGGGCCCACATCAACGAGCATGCTTCAAGAGTTCTGAGCCCTGGCATACCGCGGTTTTCGATTGTTGCAAGCTGGGTGACGTAATTGAAGAATTTCAGAGGGAACAGACTGTACCGAGCAGGATTTTGGATCAGACTTCGCAGGGAATCTTTGGGAAACAGCAGGTTGTAGAAACATCTGCAAAATTCGCACTAGAGGAGCGATTCTGCTCCTATGGTTCCAAGGCACTTCTGGAGCTCGAAGCGCCGCTGAAGATTTGTCGCCCGGCCCTGCCTGTGCTTACCGTGTTCGCGGTTGACCTCAATGAATCCGAAACCTGATCTGTACTAGTTATGAGAGGACAGAAAGCATGGTCTTTGTTGGCCCACCCTAGCTTGGGACTAGGGCATGGGAGGCACTATTGAATTGTTTGGGGTTCAGAGTTCTTGGGTCGTAGATGCCTAAGAGCACAGCTGAGCCTTGACTGCCAAAGCCCAGCTCTTTTGGAGGGCAAGTCTCATGCATGATGTACTGCACCTGAGGCGGCGATGTCCACGGCCAGTACCACGACCTGCTGCGACTGTTTGAGTACGGCGGCTTCCCTCCGGACCGTCCTGGGGGAGTGAGGGTCTTCATGTGAGGGATTATTGATGCAGTACGGATGATTCAGGGCTTATAGGACGCAGGATTTAGGAGTGCAGGGCTTCTTGAGATTTAGGCAGATGTAATGAGGGGAGGGTACGTCCGTAGGGTTGCTTAGGGGACTTTTTGGGACGCCCCAGAAACATTGCAGAGTGTGAGGTTTCAACTTAAGGGCTTCAGACTTCCCAAGCTAGCATGGAATCCTTTGGGTCCTGTCAAGACTACGCTGCCTTGAGAGGTCTCTATATGTGAATAGGAAGCTGAAATTCCACGATTGTTTGTGAGTTGCGGTTTTTGCTTCATGTTTAGGCATTGGGGTCCCTATATACGGGCCCAAGGATTCCGGTTTCCATGGCCAACTAAGTCCATGCTTTTTTAGGCAGCGTTCGGCTCAGCGAGAACAGCGCTACGACACCTCAGGCTGAAACCAACATGTGGAGCCTACAACAGCATCACAGCAAACCCTTACCCTAAACCATGAGAAGCAGTTTTCGTTTTCTTGTCCATCCCCCGATATTTCCCCACAAACTCCTTATAACCCTCTTTAATCCCAATACATAATTTTCAAGCTGTTGATTAGTGCAGCTCTGCCTTCTGGGGAGGAGAGCAACTACCTCTTCTTGGGAGACTACGTGGATCGAGGCGATGGCTTCAGGTTCATGTCTTCTTTAGGGTTAGGGTTAGAATGTTCTTGCGGTAGGGGTCCAAGGGTCAGGAGCAATTCCAGGTTACGCCTACAGTCCAGGTTTTGGCAATTGCAGATCCAGTGTCGCATCTAGTGTATACTGGCGACGTGCTGTCGGAGCCCGAATAATCATTAGCATCATTCTCTGATTTCGTAGCCTAAACCGTAAACCCTGAACCCATAGTCTAATTCTTCCATCTCTACGCTACTTCACAAAAGTCTGCTCCTGGTTCAAGTCCCTCAAATGCTGAGCCGGCTTATTTGAGCCATGATGAGCAGATCTGACAACGAGGGTCCCTCTGCATGTCCCTTTGAACTCTATAAACTTGAAGCCCGGTAGGTGGTGCAACCAAAAATTTGTGAAGGGCAGCGTTTCTGAATCCTGAAATGCAGCACTTTTGAGCCATTGCTGTTGTGGGTTTGCAGCAAGTGTTTTGGCTTCCACGTTTCATGAGCACCTATGTGCCAAGGCATCTAGAGATGCTGTTATGCCTGGGTTCTTCCATCAAAACCCATGCCAGTTGTGCATTCCAGGAGCGGAACTCAACGCTTTGTGTTGATGTCCTTGAAACGCCCGGCATGTGTCCAAATCCCAACACCTTGAGGCCCGGCCCGAAAGTCCTTCTCGCCTCTAAACCTCGAATATCAAAACTTCATCCCTGAGGCAAGCAGAGCCTTGTCTCACAAGGGGTTTAGGGTTTAGGGGTTCCCTGAGGCAAGCAGAGCCTTGAGACGATCACTTTGCTTTTCGCCTACAAGGTGCTGCGCGGCCTTTGGGGTTTGGATCATGGGAACATATGTCACTGTTTTCTATTCTTCAAGGGACGACATGGTTGGGTCACCTCATTCGCCCTCCCTTGCTTACCTGAACTCATGGCTGAACTCATGAGGAGTGCCCAGCTTCGATTTGTATACCGGCCAGAAAATGCAATTTGGCTCCATTTTCGAGGGAGAGGCCTTTGGGAACCAATGTTTTGAAACATGCCCCATAATGCAACCATCCCTCATTTCTCAATGTGGTGGATCTTGCAGCTGGTTGCGCAAAGCGTCCAATCTTGCTGACAGGGCAAGTTCCCGGAGAACTTTTTCCTTCTCCGTGGCAACCATGAGTGCGCATCCATCACGCGCATCTATGGCCACTTGTCCTGGAGAGTTAGATCTTAGAGACTGCATCTGTTGGCCAATTTTCACGGATGAGGAGGACGAGTATGTTTGTGATGATAACGATGACAAGTTAAGTCTGGTGGTCATACTTCCTAAGTACTGTTTTCAAGAAGATTGACGCCAGCAACGGATGAGCCACTGGTCAACCAAAAACACAACAGAGCTACCCTGCTTTCACGGTGGAGCGCGCAACTCTGCTTATCGGGGCTGGATTCTGCAATGCAATCGGCAGCTGGCCACACAAGCCACATTAGTAATTAGTAAGCCAAACTCCTGTCAGCTTCTCTACCGTGGCCACATTGCCGGCATTGTTTGATGACATTCAGCCGTCTCAGGTTCAGGAGAGCATTAACCCGAAGTGAGATTTCTGGACTGCTGCTCCATGTGGCCCGCAAAAAAAAAAACAAGATGTTGCTCCACGATGTTTGGGTGGGTGGTGGTTCTGAATCTCCTGCCACACCTGTGGAGAGTAGCCAACAAAACAAACGCACAGTCAAATATTGTGATAGACAATTCCCATCTTGCTGGCTGAGTTTTTTTCGTGCCTGTGCTGAGGGTTTTGGTTCGGCCGTAGTTTGCCGTAACGAAGGCTTCTATGACGAGTGCAAGCGGCGCTACAACATCAAGCCCCTTGTTCGAGAAAGGTAGCTATCGGCAGGAGAAGCCTGAGTGAAATCTCCAGGGCAGGGTCCCAAAGCACGCCTACGCCTAGGTGGATATTCGCACACTGCTCAGGCAAGGTATCCCATAAAATTATGGGCCATAATTGCAAGCCTTTGGAAGTGTGCATGTTGGATGGTCCGGAGAAAGGGAGAGATAGGGAGATCGAGAAAGAGAGAGAGAGAGAGAGAGAGAAGAAGATAGAGAGAGTGAGCGCGCAAAGCGCGCGTCCTGACTCCTGCTTGTTGTGATGTTGACAGTGAGAACCCCAAAGGAAGCCCGTGACGTGCCAGTCCAGCGAGCGCAAGTTTATTCATTCGGACAATTGAAGCGCTGGATTGTGCCCAGGACGCTGTAGATAATTTGTTGGGTCTTGTCTACGGTCCACCACGTAGACTACCACAAACATACCTGGAGCCCCAACAGGTATGACGACGTCTGTTCTTTCTTCAAGCGGCCTAGGTGAAGTCCTGCGCTTCCCTGAAAAGTTGTGTTCTGAGTACCTGCAGATCGTAACCGGTAAAAAGCTCTGAGACTCATAAACCCTGGACGCGAACAGGCTTTGGAAGCAGTTCTGCGACGTGTTCAACTGCATGCCCGTGTGTGCCATCATCGATGAGAAGATCATTTGCATGCACGGCGGGCGACTGAGAGCATCTGCGCAGGGCTTTGGGTTACTGATGGTCGCGTTGTTTCTTGCCAATTTAAGTTTCCAATGTGAGACGCGACCTTACTTCAATTTCGGCAATAGTGTGGCCGGGCAGGGCAGTTTTGGTGAAAGCAGGATTGCTGGAACTATCAGGCACCCCATTCATTCATTCATTCATTCATTCATTCCTTCTCAGCCGAATTTTTTATGTTGTAACAGGCCTGAACAGGACGGTAGCTGGATGCACCACCAGAACATGGCGCCCAATGAAGCCTTCCAGTTTGGCCCAGGTTAATGAGGTTCTGGAAGCCTTGGGCTGCGCATGGGATCATGTGTAGATGAGATGAATGGGCCATACTGGACTCTGCATGTTGAATCCGCCGCCAGTGCTGTGAGTTCCTAGCGGAATCAGGTAATACCGAAATCCCCCCAAAAAGGCTCAAAGTCTTCATTGCGAGACCTTGCAAATGATCCGCAAACATGCCAAAAGGTGGCTTGTCGCCGGAGATCAGCAGCTGCGACCAGATCAAGAAAATCGTGAGGCCATGCGGCGATGCCAGCCAGTTGAGTACGGCGCAGGGTGCGGCCCTGAACCCTGTGGCTTGAGGATCCGCGTGGAGTCAGATTCTAATCGCATAGCTCTGCGAACTATCCTGCTAGGACAACTCTGTTACGCTGACAAATACGGATCACCTGTTTACAGCCACTATTACGCCATGCTGCGTGTTAGATCCTACCCTGAGCCGTGTAGGCCGACAGATGTGCCAGACACGGGACTCATTTGTGATCTCCTCTGGGCGGATCCAGACAAGGACCGGCAGAGTTGGGTTGGGTTTAGGGTTGAGGGATGTTGAGGGGTTCGTTCAGGTGAAGTGGGCTGGATAGTCACAATGAGGCAGCGGAGTGATAACAGGAGATGCAGAACAAGTCAGTTAGGGCAACAGCAGATGGTGGTTTCCATAAGTAGGGGGAATCAATATATAGACCGCACAACGCTACAGTCCTTATTATGGGTACTCCAAAAAGGTACCAGCTGGGTCCCCATGGGATGAAATTAAGAGCCGTGATCAAACGCTGTCGTTCATCCATGGCAGCAAGTGCGCAAAGCGGAGTTTACTTTAACGGCAGACAACGTCAGAAAGTTCTACATGTATTGGTGAAGTAACTACAACTTCATGTAGAGACTGGGACATGCAAAGTTTCCTAACAGTGCTCATGACCTCATGGCTTCGCCTAGGGCCAAAGCAGCAACAGAACACAGCAAGTATGTCAAACACATCACTAGCATGTTTGTAGATCGACAGTAGCTTTCAGCAGTCCTCCTAATTTTGGGAATCAGAGAAGTAGCATGAGCTCTCGTGGTAGCGGCATTGCCCAGGAACAGACGACGAATCCATGCCAAGTACCCACAAATCGTAGTCCCAGTCTGCGAAGTCCATGGTCATCCTTATAGAAGTTTCAATTCGATTAGCAAGTTTAAGCAAGTTTGCGTTTGGAATGGTTTTGGAAACTATGGTGTCTCAGCAGTTGGCAATGGCAATGAGCTAGCTTGTTTATACTCAGTTTTTCATCCTGGGCAGTCGAGAGGGCTGATTTTGCATTTGAAGGCTCCTGCAGCATTCCCACGACAGATTTGGCCCACAAGATCCAGTGCAGGATTAGACCCAAGGTTTCTTGTTCTATGCTGAGTTCTGAGTTGCCCATCCTGGACTGTTTTTTTTGCATCATGGTTCAGGCCATGTTAAGTTCAACTTATGCAGGAGCCAGGTACCCTCTAATGTGAGTCAGGCCTTACATGTGCCCACAGTACCCTCAAGTTCAGGTTCAGGTCGGCTTTCCCCTTTGCATCGGGCTCCCAAGATTCAACTCGTCCTGTGTAATTCTCTCAGGACATTGCAGGCTGGGCGGAGAACGATCGCGGAGTGTCGTTTTCTGGCCGAACTTGGTACAGCATGGCTCTGTCTCAAGCACCACTTGTTTGCGAAATCTGACGGTCCCGGTCTCATTATCCACCATGATGATGAGTTTCTATGGTTGAAAGGTTGATTTTTTAGTGAAGCGTTGTGGGATCGTTTCATTTTTGGTACGCAAGCCGCACCCGGCACACCCCCCAAGTTATTCCGTTTAAATCCGCGAATCCATTGTATGTGTGTTTCTCAAAGCATCCCCTAAATCCCCTTCTAGCGCACATGTATCCCTAAGGTGCCCCTGAGCATACCCCTTGTCTGATTCTGACACCACCATGGGCTATTAGAACCTAAAATTCCCTATTAGGACCCTAAAATTCCCTATTACAGTAGGACCCTAAAATTCCCTATTAGGACCCTATTAAGGGTAGATTAAGGTACCCTAAAGGTCTAATAGCCCATAGTGACAAGTGCTCAGGTTCATCTTCGGCCCGGACGTGGTCACCAGCTTCCTCCAGACCCCCATTCAAAACAGGGAAGGGGACGGTTTCGGCTTGTAGTAGTTGCGGTTTAGGGTTTAGGGTTTAGGGTTATTTATTAGGGTTCAAGATCTACAGTTCAAGGCTAGGGATTGTTCTCGCTACGAAGAACGCAGTGCCATCATCCCATCCTGGCCCTAAACCCAACTGGCTGGAAGCCAGAATGGGGCTCAAGCTTGAGAGCGGTCATTTTGGAAGTGGGGGACTTTAGGAAGCCTCAGGCAAGCCGTAGGTCTCATAGGAGTACTTTAGGATTTAGGTTTTAGGGTTTGCTCTTAGATGAGACCGCCTTTATGGATTCCCTGACGCGCCTGGTTTCCTTCTTTGCCCTGCAGCCCTCTTACACTGAATAGATCCGAGAGAAGTCTATCAGAGCTGTATATTAAGAAGCCATAGGACGGTTATTGCAATTGATTCAGGGTCGGGCCTCCATGCCTGGATTGGTGCTAGGTTTTCCTTCAGCAAAATAGCTGCGAACGCAACAGTAACTGCATGGGGGTGGAGAGAATGATGGTGCTTGGTTTATTGGGCAGTGGCATGCTTCAACATTGCTGAGTCTGCTTCATGTTGTGGAGGGCCAGGTATGGCTATCATACATAAGCCATTGCAGCGTAGCCGCCTTCCTTGAGGCCTTTAGGTGTTCCAAGTGAGACTAGGGTCGAAACGTGCCCTGCCGTATGCTCATACCGAGGAAGCATGATATGGACCTGGTATGCCGGGCACACCAGGCAGGTTGAATCCGAAGCCAGGGAGGATGCGCAAAATATGTTCTTTCCAGAGCCAGCGTTATCAGAAGGTTGGCAAGGGACATGCTAAAGGAACATCGCGGGGACTGCAGCATGGTCCCCTCATTAGAAGAATAGTCCCCTTTAAGTGGATAGAATGTGGGCCATATGGGGATCTCATTATAACATACCCAAAGCCATATTCCATCTACTTAACCAGGAGGACTTTATTCCCTAAGTTTCCATTTCATGTTCCATGTTATTCTCCATTAGATTCTCCATTATAGGTGGATAATAGGGCATTATTCTATCTACTTAAGGGGGATTATGTGACTGTTGGAAAACCCCAAGTCAGCCTTGCGGAAACACTTCGCAGCTCAACCTTGCAAAAACCACCTGTAGGGTTTCGGGTCAAAGGCTTAGGGTTTAGGGTTTTAGGGTCAAATGTTCAGGGTGCTCATTTGCCCCTCCCGAACGTCTGGCGCCCCAGAAGACAACTTCTTCAGTACCGTGCGAGGTGCACGCCCACCTTGTTTGACTTGCTGGTTCTAAGTAGGGAATAAGGGAATATAATCCGTACATAATCCCTATATAATTTATCCCCTTATTCCCTACTCACCCTCAGTAAGTCAAGTCTTTAAGCAGCCTGAGAAGTCCTTACCTTGCATAAGGTGAGGTTGTCATTAGGAATTCTCCCATTTGAAATCATATTTCTTGTTGGGGGAGCGCCTTTGGTTCTGCTTGAAGGTTGTGGAAGACGGCTATGAATTCTTTGCGAAGCGCCAGCTGATTACCCTCTTCAGTGCTCCGCTCCTTGGTCTTTTTTAAGGTTTGGGGGGGAGTTCTCATTGGATGCCCTTAAAGGGTTGGGTACGTGGTGCAAAGCGTTCAGGGTCTCATGAGATACTTTCAGTGATTGCTGAGGTTGAGGCATGAGGATGCGAACTGATGCGAATTCATCGAAGTTTTTCGTAGTAAACTTGACGGTAACCATCACCATCACCATCATCATGATCATCATCATCAACGTCATCTTCATAGTACTCCGTACCATAATGATGCCAGTCACCATGAGGGATGATATGAGCCATAGTTAAAGAGGGGGTTGTATGAGGGATTATAGGGGACTACTATACAGGATATCAAGAGGAATGCTAGGAGTTTCCACAATGGCGCATATAATCCCTAACCGTAAACCCTAAACCCCAAACCCTGCACCCGGAACCTTACACCCTAAATCCTGCATCCTGAACCCTAAACACTCCTCCCTAATATAGGGGCTATGTGAAATTTAGGACTCGGGCCCGGGCTCTCCGACCTTAGTGTGACCTTATGGCAGCCTGGCATCAGGCAGGCTGCTCCAAGATCCCAAGATCTCCCAAAGAGTAAGGCCCTGTAAGAACCCGTGGGCTGCCTGATTACTTGCTGGTGGTCAGTAGGGAATAATAAGGGAATGCATTATATATGATATAGGGATTCTATGGGTCTGACCATCCCTTGTTCCCGCCTAACCACCAAACCAATCCCATTATAATCCTCTAAGAGTCACTATGGTATTATGCCTTCTTTCTGGGAGCGATGGGTGCTTAGGAAACTTGCTCAGTAAACCAGGCCGTTCCCATGCCAGAACCTGAACCTTAAACCCTAAAGGCCCGAATTGGGCAGATCAGAGCGTCTGTTGATAGTCAGCCTTACCTGCCCAAAACGGTGGCCCCTTCATACAGCCCACAACTCTACGATACTTATTGAGGAAACTCTTTAAACCGGACCCCTAGATCCCGCAGAAACCCCACATATCCCAAACCCTGAACACTAAATCCTGAACCCTAAACCCTGAACCACTACGAGATCTTAGGAATTACTGCGGCGAGTTTGACAACGCTGGGGCGAGCCTAGGCTTGCATTGGTGCACCCCGGGCACCTCTGAAATCCCTCAGCCCAAACTTTTTTGTAAGGTTTCGGGTTTAGGGTTAGTAGGGAATAAGGGAATATAAGCCCCATATCACCCCAGTAAGACTGAGAAGCCCCAGCACCTAATCAGAAGGATACCCCTAGTACAGATATACATATATATACATATGTGTGTATACCACAAATAGTAGTTGCCCCCAACCCGCCCCCTAAGAATGAGCATTCCAAAGATAGTGCCAGTACATACACTATACTGCGTTGGGAATATTCCTTCTTCGGGGGTAGAAGGCAAGGGCTTCTGTCATGAGGTGCGCTAGAGGAGGAAGAGAGACTGCTTAATGTGGAGGAGGATGTGAGAACAGCAAGGCGTAGCCAGCCCCAGGGCCTGCAATCAGACAACAGTCAAATACAGATGAAAACCCAGACCCCCTAAAGGATGCAAAAAATGGAACCCCCCCAATATGAACCCATTCCGACATTGGGGAAACAAGGGGATAATGAGGGGGTTCCATTTTTTGGATCCTTTAGGGGGTGTGGGAAGTCTTGATGAATGGCCAACACGGACAAATTTGGCCAGAAGTGTCGCTCAATGCAGCCCACGGATGCAGCAACCTGGTGGCTCGCTGAAGGCTTGTCTGTTTGACAGTGAATCGTTACGGCAGGTCTGCTAGTCGTCAAACGCCTCTGGACAACACCTGCATAGCTCCGAACCGCCCAGGCTCTGGCTCCTAAACCCCAAGCCACTAAACTCTGCGCACCACTCAGGATGATGAGCATCGATGAGACGCTGATGTGCAGTTTCAAGGCCTCACAGGTACCCAAAACAATCAGTATAATGTCAAGAGGTATTTGGGTTGCTTACAGTATTACATGATCCAACATGAGCCATGAAGTGACAGTATTCGAAGTAAAGCCGGCCGAAAACGTAGTGTGCTTGTTTAATGTCGACAAAACGTTCGCAGGCTTCGGCTTCGACAGCGATCTAGAAAGAATCGCATAAAACTTTGGCCAGATTCCCAACTGGCAGTTGAGAGCATGGGGGGATCTCCTGCAAATCTCTGGGAACGTCTCTCCCCCTACCAAAATGTCACGTACATGTTTTCTCAGTTGTGTACTGATGGGCCTGATAGAAGATGACTCGTCTTTGCTGTTGTAAGTACTGGTTGCTGGAACACATCTTGCAAGCTTTGGCCTGTATGGCACCGCTAGTAGGAAGTGACGGGATGAACCTCAACAAGGAAAAGCCCTCTGCAATCGCAAGAACCTCTTGTTGCACTCCCCATGTAGTTGAGTCATAGCGGGAAGCCTGTTCTGGCCACCCAGCATTGGTCCATGTTTCCAAAATGTACCGAATCTGCTGGGTGCTTTCTTAACACGACCTCGCAATTCTTTGTGTAGGGACGTGGGCTGAGATGAGAGGACCATATCAGGCCCATACAAGGATCCAGGTTCCTGGAATTGCTAGACATTGTGCGTTGGCCGGCGTTCCTTTGGTGTAATAGAGGGTTTCAAATGTCACGGTCTGGTCCGCCTAGGCTGTTTCTAGTTGTCATGGTCTGGTCGACCTAGATGATTTTCAAATGTGTCATGATCAGGACCCTCTGGAGTGTTTTCAGGTGTCAGGGTCTGGTCCGCCTAGAAGTTTTTCAGGTGTCTCGGTCCGGTCCGTCTTCGGGGTTTCCGAGTGTCACGGCCTGCCTTGCCAGAAGGTTTTAGGCGTCCCGCTCTGGTTTGGCTACAGGATCTGTGTAGAGGGTTTGCAGGCTGGACTATGCCCGCTCTGGCCAGGTTCCTCAAGCAGTATCCTGATGAGAACTTGTCACACTGTTCAGGGTTATAGACTATAGAATTTAGAGCTTAGGGCTATCAATCACGCCTGAAGTGTATAGAATTGAATTGTATACGGGTATGAGCGGGTCGGATGCTGAGAAATGTAAAATGCGCACAACCGGTTCATCATGTGAGGCATGGTCTAAATTCCTAGTATCCCCTTAATAACCCTTAGAATACTCCCCTAAAGAATCCCCCTTATAACCCCCTTTTTTTACTAGGTGAGACTAAGCTCATGTCGCCGCAGGTCTTGAAGCCGGTGAAAGGCAAGAAGTGACCAGCAACTCGGCAGTCGAAAACCTGGGTTGCTGCCAAGGACATTAAAGTAGGTTTAGGGTTTAGGGTTTAGGGTTCAGGGTTAGGTACCTTACTGACTGTTTCTGTTTTAATCATGTTATGGTAGCCTAGTGTAAGCGACCAGAAACTTGCGCTGGAATCACTGGAATGTGTCAGTGGGAGGAAGACATATATTGCCCCCAGCCAAAACATGGAACCTCCTCATGGAGCCCCCTCGGCGAATTATAGCAGTCTTTAGAGGCCTGTCCTGAAGATGCCATGAAAGTTGAAGGATGGTCGAATCCTGCATAATTAGGAGGTGAGTGGGTCAGCGCTTGGGGCTCATTTAGTTCAGGGCCCGAATAGTCTGCAGCAGTAGGATGAGCCATGATCAGCCTTTATATTGGGGTTTTTAGTTTAGGGTAGCATAAAGTGATCAAAAGGACCCATGGAATCCCTTTTGTGCCCCGTGCAGGTGAGAAGGAGTAGCACCAAATTCCGTACGGTGTGCCGGAGTAGCACAAAATCACCATGCGTAGGATTAAATAAACTAGCAGTCGCACGGAGACTTCCCATGTGTAGTGGCTTTCGGCTAACAAGATGAGCACGTCAGAAAGCACCTCGGCAGGACAAGTAACCGTAAGTTGTGCCCAAGCTCGGGAAAGTTTCGCCCCGTGCACAACTCTGGGAATGGTGGTTTCTGGAAATAATCTAGGTTGAAGATAACCTACATAGGGAAGGCCCCTGTATGTTGGTCGTTGTGAGAACAGTATAGATTGTTTAAGGCTGCTGAGGTTAGGCCCTAACTTCGAGGAATTCCTAAACAATCGCTAGGCAATCCTAGACCGGGATCCTTTACTGCAACCACTGTATATCCTTGGCAAGTTTAGAGAGCATTGCCATTTCCCGGAGCTGCATCTAAGGCATCGCTTGAGGACGCGATGAAGGTGCAGTCGGACTGAAGTCCGCTGAGAATGGTTTAAAACCCCAAAAGGGTCAAAACGTTCAGAAGCAGTACATGTATACAGAGCATATGTGCCCAGCAAGAAAAAATAGCATCCTAATTGCATTCTGCGAGCCACCGCTGCCTTCACCTTGGATTTTTGGCCGCACACGGGAACCTTTAAGGTTTCGCAGGTTTGAGAGGCCTCCCTGTGATAATCACTGGTGAGTGCTGGCGGAGTGCCACGGAAGCCTCAGTGCAAGCTTGGAGTTTTGGCATTCAGGGTTGCGGGAGAAGGTCATCCTACCCTACCCTCACTAGGTTGAGGGGTTTGGTGTTTAGGTATTTCACCCTAAGGGTCCAAGTACTCAAATAGTAGATAGTTTGGGCCCAAATATGGTTCCTATATAGGTACTTTGGGCCGTGATTGCATACTTTTTAGGTACTTGGACCTTTGGTTATACTTGCTGTTGTTCTTCTAGGATTCTAGGGCGACCTGAACACAAGGAGAGTCGTAAAACCCTGGAAACAGCAAAAAATCGCCAAGACGGCCAACTATCGGTATTTTGATGAAACACCAAATCCAAAAGATGTAGCAACTCAATTCAGAATTTGCTTGTGGAATATCATGCTCATCACCTTTGTACTATCAAACGGAACATGAAATGCAAATTGAGGGGCTTGCAGCAGTTGATTACATAGATACAGGGATGGGGTTTGGTAAGGCGAAGATTATGCCTAGTGGCATTAGAGATCTCGAATGGAAAATCAGATTGGAGATTAAATGGAAACTAAGGGTGTTTAGGGCTGCGCTGCTCATGGTTGATCTTTTTGGTATATGCAGGGTGTAGGGTTTAGAAAGAACAGGGTTACTTAATGATCATATACCGTCATAAACAAGTGAAAATAAAGTGGACAAGAACGTGGATAATGAAGTGGAAGTTTGGCTTATACAGGGCTTATATGGTGATCACATTGGAGAATACGTGGGTTCGGCCAGGCGCGCTAAAGATAGTGGAGCATCAGATTGATCACCAAGGGGAGCATGGAATAGAAACTGGCCATCCCGACAGAAACAGTCCTTGCATCAGATTGTGTACAGTAGGTAACTCACAAGCTGTCTTGAGGCTCCAGACTCTAATCTTTTCAGAAATCTCTAAGCCCAAATTTGCGTGGTCATGATGAGGCTCCGATATGTTTCCCGGCACAGCCGGATACAAGGCATGTTTTTTTCTCCCACCTTTGGAGTCCAATCACCCCAGTTTTGTGGGGCTTAGGGTTTAGGGTTTAGGGTTTTGTGTCCTTATCCTACAGGAGATTATGAGAGGACTACGGTTGGATATTAGTCTATGACAGCTAAGGGCTTCATGGTTGAAATATGACAGAAACCCTTACCACTTCTTTTCGAGTGCCATACTTGGACTCTGAGGGCTGATACGCTCTCTAAGTGGCGGTTTCTCAAAATTTAGGGGTACCATTTTGGGGATCCTAATAAGAAGGATTATAGTATTTTGGGGTCTACATCGGGGTTCCCTGGTTTTGGGAAACTATCAAGTTTCACAGTCGGCTGTGTGCATGCCTTTGTGGCCACACTCCCGGTTCGCCGGAAGTAGGGTGGAACTGCTGACCTGGGGCAGTCACCACCTTGCTTGCTGCCATGGAAGCATGGTGCATGTGGGGGTGGAGGCTTTAGGGTGCCACTATGGTTCAGGCTTCGGGGTCTAGGGATGCTCACAACAAGGGATCTGCAGCAGCGGTTCTCACCAAGCATCAGCATTACTTCGCGCGGTGCGTGTTGGACGTGTTTTTTCAAAACCGGTTAACCCTAAACCCTAAGGCCATTCTTCCAAAGACTGGCACGTCTCAAAAGATGGGATCCCGTGTGCAAAGCCCTACAGTTTCCTCTAAAGGCAACCATCATCTTAG